GGGGGGGGGGGGGGGGGGTGCGGCGTTATGAGAAAAATGTGCTCACTTCCAGGGAAAAGTTGTGTATGTGTGTGTGTGTGTGGGGGGGGGGGGGCAAGAAAGTTTCTTCTGCTAACTGCTTTCTTATCATATTTAGACAATTTGTTTTTGCCGAACTTTTGGACTTTTTCTGGTCATTATCACGTTGATGTTTTCTCCCCCCCCCAAATGTTTTTCTGTGAGTAATGTTCGGATTTTTTTTCATGACATTTTTCTTGTCGATTTTTTTTTCTTGAAACTTTCACATGGTTTTCCTCGAAACATAAACCCCCAAATTTTATTCCTGGTTATTATGACAAAATGGTCTTTTTTTTTTTTTTTTTTTTAATTCAAAAGATCGGAAGTTTTTTTTTCCTTGTGTTTTTTTCCCCCCCTGTAATGTGAAAAAAAATTCTCACAAGTTAAACTGAACAAAAAACAAATCTGGTAAATTTCTGCCGTTTTCTTCAACTTGACTTTCCCCCCCCCTGGAAACTTCACCACTGCATCGTCTTCATTTTTTTACGGTTGTTGTGCCTTTCCAACATTTCTTTTTGAGTAAAATGACAGTTTTTTTGGTTGCTTTTTTTTTTTTTTTTTTGCCAGTGTGTCCTTCAAATGTGTTTGTGGAAACCAAGATGGGCGACGGTGGGCCCGACTTCAAATAAGTTCCGCGAGTGTTTTGGTGCGCCGCTTCCAGCCAATGCCTGTCCAGCTATAAATACCTTTACAAATATACACTTTCATTATTTCATAGACTTCAAACATTTCGTCGACAACAGTGTCTTTTTTTTTTTTTTTTTTTTTTCAGTTTAGGATGCTAGATGACAATCGAACGCCTCTTTGTTTCGATTTCCACGAGACTGTCTTCAGGGAACTCGTGAGTGAGGCCGACTCGTTGGAGGACTGGAAGAACGTCGAGTCCGACCTTTGGAAGATTTCCGCAATCCGGGAGCTTCCATCTTTGTAGGCACAGAATGGTTACCCCGCCCCCATTTCCCATTTTTTTTCCCGTCCCGCAGATTGTCCGTAACAAAAGACTGGCCGTGTAGAAAAATAAACTTTGTGATTTAAAAAAAAAAAAAAAAAAAAAAGAAAAAGATTCCTTCAAAGTTTCCCGAGCCCAGCGGAAGGATTTTAACATCCTTCCGGGTGCACTCGGTGAGGTGAGGTGATTATCGGGAGGGGTCGGGGAGGCGGGCCGGGGTGTTCCCCGGCGCGAGCCACCCCCACCCCGCATCTGAGGTTTTATGCGTGAACGGGGACGTTGGTGGCGGGGGGCAGCTGCTTGGGAAGACAGGGCTCGTCGGGCGGGGCGTCGTGGGCGAACACCGAGTCGTCGCCCGAAGAGCACGTGCTGGTGGAGTCCTGGCACGTGGGCGAGTACTGCTCCAGTGGAACCGACAGGTCCAGGTACTCCTGTGGGGGGGCGGGCACACACACACTTGACATCAGCACGCTCTTTGCCAACATTTGGAGGACAACCAAATATATCGATGAACATTTTGAATGGGAACTCATCGTTCCTTTTCCGTTCATTGACAAAGCAGTTTTATCGTCATCGCAAAAGATACGCCGTGCTCCACTTCGGAATAAAAGTGTGTGTGTGTGTGTGTGTGTGTGTGTGTGTTGGACTGACATCGGTGGACGTCATGGACAAAACGCGGTCGTGATCTTCCACCAGCTGGCGAAAGGTGGGCCTCTGCGACGGCACGGCGTGCCAGCACTCGCGCATGATCATGTACCTGAAAGACACACGTTAGCGTATTAGCTTAGCAGTTACAATACAATACAATACGTCCTGATTTATATAGAGCTTTCACAACAGCCGCAGTTGTAACACAGCAAAGTAAAACAATAGACGCAACACATCAGATAAAACCACGCACGAACAGTCGTTCAATCGTCAAAAGGTTCGCCTCATCTGCTTTGTTCTTTGAAGCATTTCTAGATGAGAATCCGAGTGTCCTTTCACCAGTGGATCAGAGACGTCATGCTCAAAATGCGCACACGTCGACTACAAGCTAAGTTACAAAGTCAACAAGAAGCTGTGGCGTGCGTTGACGAAAAAAAAGAGATCGCTTCACGTCTCCTGTCCCACGTCAATCCGCTTCAATTCCAAGCGGCGGCTCTCAGTTGCGCTCAGTTGTTGATTCAAATGCCCTGCGGAGTATCTTTGAGTGTCTGTGATGATATGGAATAGAATTTTAGGGTTTTTTTTAATTACTTCCGTCTATTTATGAGGACTTCACACAAGTAATTTTTATGTTGTAATCTGGACTTGTACCGATTGGACTTTTTGCGGTAACATTCGTACCGCCCCCCCCCCACCCCATTGCAACTTCACTGCTTCTTTTTGGGCCTTTCTCTGACCATGACAACTTTTTGGTTTCTCGTCGCGTCCCAAATCAACGCGTTTGCCGTTTTGAGCGACTCACAGCTCGTGCGTGCAGTTGGCGGGTTTGTCCATGCGGTGTCCCTCCTTGAGCAGCTTGAAGAGTTCCTCCACGGGGATGCCCGGGTACGGTGACCCCCCCAGGGTGAAGATCTCCCACAGCAACACCCCGTAGGACCACCTGCGCGCACAAAGGCATCGTGAAGACGACAGAAGAAACGACACCTTTGCTTTCTTTTCATCTCCAGAGCCAACGTTTTTGTCGGGCATTGAGCCGCATTTCAACTTTTTGCCGTTTTCTGGATCTGACCACTTTTTTGGGGTCGAGCACACGACGCTCTTATTTTTCATTCTCCTTTCCTCGCCACCGGCGGCCGGGTTCAACGACCGTACTCGAGTATTCCGCAAAGCCCGTCTGGCCGGCTGATCCGCTTTGTAAATGCGGACCTGCTGGAAAAACACGGCGGCGGGCGGGCGGGATTCTTTCTTTCCCAGTGTGCCGGAATCTCACACGCCCCCGCGCGCCGACACACACATCGGGCGGGCGACCGTGTTGACAGCCGGCGTCTCTGCCTTGGAAAGCGCTCTTGTGCGCACGACACGCGTTCTTGTTTTCCCGCTCACTTCATTCCGTTGTTCTGACTTTTGCGTTTTCAAACTTTTCTCTTTTTAGCCATTTTTTTTTTTTTTTTTTAACAGGTGACTTTTAATTGAATTTTTTTTAATTATTCAGTATGAAACTTTTCATCAAATTTTAACACCTGGCCACCGTGAACATATGAGCTTCACGCCCTTGTGGAATTCGTGACTGTAGACAAAAAGTGACACTTGTCCATCCTTGCCCTCTTAGCTCTCGCTCGGTGGATTTCCACAGTTAAAACACGGCTAAGACTGGCGAGGGAGCGCGGCGTTCGGCTCCCTCTGATGTCGTGTCGGGAGATTACGGAACAGGCAGAACAAACGCGCTCAGGAATGCGCCGCCGCCGCCGAAACGGGAGGAGCTCGGGATTCTCGTCGGCGAGTTGTCCGATTCGCGCGGGGCCGCTGAGCCCCCGAGGCTAACGCGCCGCGGCGGCGGGGGGGA